TATTATTATGCGGTTATCCCGCGGTGGCTGACAGAGTCCGACCCATTTATACACATCAAATTTAGGGCTACGCCTGTAGCTCTTAAATATACTAATCTATGCCGAAAATAGAAATTGATTTCAAAGGTGATTTGAACTCCTGCATGCTGTTAATTTGCATTCGCTTTATCGTGTATTCTGACGGGAAGTTTGAACACAGACGTATGCCGGAGGTTTTTAAGGTAGCTGCCATATTTACCTACCACCTAAATGCAATGCCGGTGTCCAGGTAGTCCATAACCCGCGATTGTTGGCTGAAATAGGCCATAAGTACTGCCTGTTTACCCTTCTCTGGTGATAGGCTCGTTGGGGAACGTGCTGTAGATCGCACGTTGGACCTCTTCAGACTACAACGGTCTAACTGTCGTGTTGTTGTTGATAATGATGACGATGATGGACTCTTATCTTTTTTCAGACCTACTGCTGTGGATGCCTACCTCTTTGGACGTCTGTGGCCCCTGCTCAACTATGACTTGCAGCGCAACAGTACAAAGAACCCGCCTGCACGGCTGATTGCACACATCTACCAATGTGACAACCTCTTTAAGCACTGCCAGCGTATCCAGCGGATGTGCTTCCCCTCCGCAAGATTAACCATGCGTCCAGGTACGCGCTTGATCTATCTTTATTCTCTCTGAAGTGCTGAATTCGTTTTATTCGTAGAGTAATCACCTTGAGCCAGAGTGCCTAGCCTGTATCTAACTTATACCACAGCCCATGCAGAATTCTTTCGCGTCGAAGGTTGTTAACACCTTTTGTGCAGCGATTGGCTGTGTGTTTGATGTGTTGGACCATCTACCAGGCGCACTGGATAAATACTCAACGTTTGATACTTGCAAGACAGATTTTCTCGGACCTTTTTTTTCAAAAATCTTCTTCGTGCACTACAGTGTGCAAGTTATTTGATGCATCGGCCGGCGAGTGAGGGCGTCGCAAATTTCACCTCACCAGCGTCTTTCTACAACTGATAACGATGTCGATCGGCTCAACTAAAGACCTCAGTAGTAGACTTCTTGAAAGCTGATCTCGTCCGCATTTCTGTTTCTGTGTTCTTTAACCCCCATGGTTGGTCTGCTAAACGACTCAACTGGAATCAACTACCGAACAAAGACGCAGTATTATTTGAAATTTATCCAGCTTTTCAGGAAGTCCATCTTTTTTTCAAACACCGAGTCCCCAAGAAGGAGGTATATACCGGTGAACGCCCTTCATAAACGGCTTTGAAAATCCCCTATAAAAGCTGCCATGTCGCGGGCCCCTGGCTCAATTGTCTGCTGTTTGTGTTGACTTTTCAAATAACCGAATTTTTCTTAATGGTACTCGGGTTATCTCAGGCTGGCGAATGCAGATTAAACATAAGTGTCTATTCCATTCTCCCTTCTCGTTTACTTCTTAACCACTTTCTGCGACGAAGATATAACGCCGGCATGACCGATCTCGAATCCACCCGTTTGTTGATAATGACTTGTTCTTCCTACGCTGTTTCCCCTTTAATCACCGGCAGTCGCCTCTAGTGATCACTTCTGTCTACTCTGTCTACCCTGCTCTTGTGACCCCCTATTGCCGGCGTTGTAAGTATCATGTGCGTGCTACTGTAATAAAATCAGTACACATATCATCGTGATTTATTTGTCTAACCATCTGCTTGTAGCGCCTTTCGCACAGACTGCGGCCGAAGCTGAGACAGCTAACCAGGGTATCCTGTCTTCCTCCTCGGCCTGGCTCCGGTCTCGCCCGCTCCGGGATGGTCTCTTTTTTGGGGCCTTTGTACTCACAGTCATGGCCATGTTCGCCGTCCGCGTGGGCATTGTCCGCATCTCGACTGTGGATGATGAGGAGGACGAGGGTCTGACAGTAGAGCCCGAACTTCTCTCTTCAAGTGACTAGGAGTCTTTAGGTGCCTAGACCCTGAGCCTCGCCCCCCAAACTTTGTGTACATGGTCATTAGTCTCTATTTTGCTGTTGTTTCACATAGGTATTGCAATTAGATTATTATCTATTGAGTGAGAACAAATTCTAGTACGTTGTACCTTTTTCTAAAAAGAAGACATGAATTCTTATTTTTTTTACTTGTTCTTTTTGACTATCTGTAAACTGCCACCAGCGCCGTTAAGTAAAAGCACGCTTCTGCAAGCAAGGTTACATCGAATTATGTGGTTGAGTTATGAGTATATGTCGGTAAGGATAGTTTGTGGGCATGACCGAGGTCCGCGGGTTCTGTTCTACGGTACCGGGGGAAAAACGAAAGGCCTTCCGCGTCTGTAGGGGAGTGTTTCCGGTGTCAACTATTTTGGAGGACGGATGGAGGGGGGATTGCATGGTGCTAGATGCCTAATATACGCGGCGATTTTGTGCAGAGGTTCATCTATACTAATCTGATGACTGAATTACTTGAGAATGACTATAAAAGCATGGTCGGACCTGTAGCAGACTCCTGAGTTCTTGTCAGTGCTACGAGCTTTATCGACTCACGGCCGCCTCTGCTTGATAACTCCCAATTGTAACTGGTTTAAAGAGATCTGATTTAGTAAATGTTACCGTATATTCGGGCAATTTCGTGTGCAGGGCTCAGGGTCACTTGAGCACGCCATCCCCCGGCCAACGCAGCATGGACCTTTTTACACGACACTCCGCCGGGCAATGCAACGCATCAATCGCACACCACTTTAAATTGCCCCACAATTACATAAAAGTAGCCGCCACTGCTGCCCGGGACAACACCACAGGGTTCTGTGTACAATAGGTCTCACATTCTGGTGCCTTTTCTAACAGCCTGGGATTCGATCTGGTGATTGTAGTGTTCCGAGTACAATCACTGCTTACACGCTACAGTTCTGTACCGCACTCATCCTCAGATACGCAAATCCTGGCCAAGGACAGGCTGTGACCACGTAATATATGACGCTGTGTAGTGGCATGCCGGAATCCATTTCGCTGTCCCTCTTGCTGTTGTGTTAAAATCCTAGCCAAGTATGAGATGGTACGCTTAGGTGCGGGTTTTGCTGTGCAAGTCATCTGCGCCTGATCCGTTTTATTTGACCCGATCTGGAGACCCGGCAAGGGCTGGTGAGGGAAGAGAGAGTGCAGTAGATGCGGCGCAAGTCCAGCACCAGTTAAAACTGACTCACCGCGTTTGAGTTCAGCCTTCTGTGAAACGCGTGGCGGACATCGACAGTCGTTACCTGCTATCCATTCTATGCATATCTCTCTCAGTGCAACAATCTCTCCCAATCGTTCTATATCCGGTC